CGCGCTTCCCGCTCGCGTTTCTCTCTTCAAGAGTGCGAGAGCGGCGTATGTAAACGCCTTTGTGAGAGAAGTAACGTAAGTTGGGGGCGCGCTCAAGCACCTGCTTCTGAAACTTGCTACAAGGTAGAACTACTTTAAGGATTCTTGGCCTCTTAGGATCCTTTCTTCCCATCCTATAAACTGAGGAAGGCAAACACTCGACATTCAAAAAGGACAAAATTGAATTGGTGCACGAAATATCATGAACAACAGAGTCATATGAATTCACAGAGTTGCTCTCAGGAACACCAGAAATGATAATAGAACGTTTAAGTTCAGTATCATCAGGAACACTAGGACTGAACGGTTCAGTACTCTTATTGAAAGCCTGAGTAGACGAGTTCAAGGTGACATGACCAGAGTGAATTCCCTTAGAAGTAAGTAAATCTTCAATTTGAGATTTCAAAGCAAAATTCTCTTCCCTTAATTTCCGATTTTCCTCGAGAATTGCATCACTTCTTTTGATCACATCCAGTAGCTCACGCCTCGTATCGAGCAGGACGTCTATGACCACTCTCATGTACGGCGGCATATCTTGATCGAAGTTGATATCCCTGTAGCTTGTCAAGAGCACCTCCATGGACTTGAGGCGAAGTCTCCACACGAGAGCGTTTTACTGGAACAGATGACGAACGCAGGGGAGAGGAAATCATGCCGAGAAGAAAGAAAAAACGCACAGATGATCAATAGACAACGCTGATCTATCGATCACCAATTCCAAAATAAACACCGAAATTTACCGGAAACAGTGGCGAAACCACAAACAAAAACCAATTGTCACCCCTCGCCACTAGGGTGGACGCCGAAGAACAAATAGAACTGGTAGAATAGTAGACTTAAAATGAAGAGCAGCAACTTGGATTAAAGCGAAAAAAATAGTTTTAGAAAAAAAAGTTGTTGTAAGAAATAACCATCGTTACATTAATCACCATTGGCAGCCCGTGCCACCGTTGCGTACCACTTCTGCCTACCGTCCCTTACGCCTAAATTTGCTGAATTTGCTGTGAAGCAAGCATGGCTTGGATCATCGCCGACAGATAGAAATAGGTGAAATTAAATAAATGGCTCAAATTTGTAGTAAAGGAAAGAATACAGGACTGATTCAGAGGGTTTCGTGATTAACTATCGGATGGAAAGAGAAGGAGGTATAGCTGATTCGTTGACTAGCAAAGGGTGAAGCATTTAGCAGTGCCAAATTTGCTTGTGGAATGCGCCACGAGCTCTGTTCTTATGCAGCAGCGCAGAACCATTCCAATGCGATTTGGGCTATATAAAAACAAATCACAAAAACAACCAGTTGAAACATATCTCAATACTCGATATTCCACTCACAGACTAGTCTAATAACAGTTTACTGTGGTGGGTATCGATTGGTCTTTAAACCGAACGCTGGAATGTTGCGAAGAGAAACAAATAACAATTTATTAGAGAACAGAACAGGTGCAACAAAGAACACAGAATCAGAGTTAGTGAGGGTTCCTTCAATGATGTGCGAAGGGCCGTCCTTCAGGTCGAGCAGAGGGGGCAAGGAGAGGCCGCCCGCGGGCCACACAGAGACGAACTGACTGTGGCTTTCGACCGCCTGTCATCATTGACTGTGGAGATCACGCGCGTCGTGATCTCTTGATCATGGGTGTTTCTTCCCACCCGGACATTACCACTAATGACAGGTGAGAGGCTTGTTTGCCTGTACGAGGTGAGATCTGAGGACGGCGCGTAGACACCACATCATGAATCTATATTAGTGACATATCTGCGACATTACCATGATTCCTAAGCTATACACCTTATTCGATGGATGGCATAGAGAGGACATCGAAATCCCCTGAGATAAATTCAATATCGTGTTATTTATCATTATGGGCCTCGTCTACAGGCTTCGTGTGAGGGGCTCTTTTTCCGCTTGGGGGTGTATAGAAGGGGACGTAGGCACATTCGAGGGAACAAGTGGAAAGCCACAGAAGCGGAATTTACGCAGATTCGCATGCATTTCAGAGATAGGAGAGGAATAGAAAACAAATTTTGTTGAAATTATTTCTTTTAGGGTTGTACCTGCCACGCAGTTGCTTTTTTCCATAGGGTAGCAAACATTTTATTAGCACATGAATTTCTGGGCCAATAGCTGCACAAGTCAGTGCGGCCCAAAAAGACTATCTGCTACAGGTTCTCTAACGAACACGGATGGGAAGGGGAAGGATGCAGAAATTAATTCTGAACCTTGCGTGTAGCAAGGCTGCCACTCCCCAGCACACAATCTCGCCTCAGACAATTGATCCGCTTAAGATATTCAGTATTTGAGATGACTTGAACCTAATTCTTCTGAAGCAGGCAAAACGAGCAGGTCTTAAAAGGGAAGACACACTCACAATTGCCTATGATACCTGCGTTGGTGTCGAGACCTTTGAAAAAGATTAGTGGCTTTTATTCCAGCTTTTCACCACGAGAAGAGATTTCACTAGCGAACTGCACTGTGCGCAGTACATAATCCAGTCTCAAACATCACGCCATCTTCCAAGGAACCTGTCGGGTTCCTCTCATCCTCAATTATTGCTTTCAATTGGTACATAATTGTGGGTGTCCTCTAAGTTGATAGCAGTTAATGAGTTAATAAGTCTCAAGATCGAACCATAAGGAACCTAAACTGTGAACACTGATACCAACACATAACCGTGATCCTTTCCGGAGAAAAAAACCTAGCGCCGAAGAGTCGAACTGAAACCAATATCGTTTTCGCAACCGCGATCAGTTACACATTCTGATGCCTAAACCTCTCGTATGAGGAGTGCACCGCTGGAGCGTGCGCAATCGATCAACAGATGAGGGATCCGGTAAATATGAGAGCGTAATTTTACTTACGCAAAATAGGCTCTGGCTTCGCGTGCTAGCTACGACCCCCCTCCAAGTCCATCCAAGTACGACCCCCCCGTTGCTACTTGTAGCAACGTAGGTTTGACCCTGCTGGGGGGTGCACAATTGAAAAACAGATGAGAGATTCGGTAAACATGACATGTGAACATGGTGCATAATTCTACTTTCCCAAAATCAAGCAGCCAGCAGAACTATGGGCTCCGACCTTCCAAAAACCCCTTCCTCGTGGATTACGGTACCCAACCTTCGCGCTCTATCAGGCGTCCTATGCTCTCTGACAGCCGATATACCGCGATTTGTGGGTTTCCATTCATATGTCATCTTAATCTCCGTATCAATTCGAAATTGTAAAAGCGCCTTAAATGCACATTGAGGCATAGTTGGCTTACAGCATCGGACACGGTAGCCGAACCACGCCTCGCATTGTTCTGAATGGTTGCTTAGTCAATGCAATGGATTACGGTAGCCGCGCTCTGGACGAGAGGATCATTGGAATGTTGAGGGTGTTGAGGTGGTCTGAACTGCATTGGAGATTCATTATAGAGTATAGCACCAGTGCGAGTTACCTTCACAAGCCATTTCAGTGGATTAAGGTAGCAGGAAATGGGGTGTAAATTTTCTACAACAAGTTTAATACCGGCTTCGTGGCTTTACTTAAAAAAAACCATTCCGTGTGACAAACCCGAAATCACCCATGTTTGTAAAATCGAGATCTTCTTTGGTGTTCGCTGATTAGGGGTCGGGCCGGAAGACTGTGATAGCGTGACACTCCACATGGAAGACCGGTTCGGCCGTTGACCGCATGTGATTACGCACAGAACACATGGTACAGGAATGCTACAGCGAACTTCGAAAGATTCAGTGGTCCAGAAACCAGACGATATGCGAGTAGGTAAATCGTGGCAAGAACGTATATGTAATCATAAGGCTTCCATCTCTACAAGCTGGTCAGGCGGTAGCGCGTTTCGAGAAAAAAAAAACCTCATTAGAACTAATCCATCGGCTTGCCCCCCACGATTCGTGCTGCGATAAAAAAAGCCTTACCGTAGTTCTTTGGGCAATCACTGTTTAAGACATATTGCATTCAACAATACAGCATTTCTGAGGAACATGATGTAATAGGGATTTTCTGTCGTTGAACATAGAAAGGCGTTCAGAAACGCTTGAAGATAGCTATGATTTATCAATTTTTTCTTTTTTAATTCTTTTTCTATGCTTGTTTCTCTTTTTTTATTCTTTTTCTGTGCTGTGTTTCCATTCTCTCGCCACTCCACTGAATAACTTGCGGTCATTTTGGCCTCTTCCTTCTCTCTTCCTTTCCTTTTCTTTTGTTGCTTTTCTTTGATTTCTTGTTGTCCGATGCGCGAGCTGCTCTAGAAAAACGCATTCAGAAATAGCCAAAGAGTTGTACAAATTATCAATTTCATCCGCACCTCTGCACTAACCTTTATTCCAAACACTCACTATGGGGCGCTTTTGATTTGAACTTTCCTTTTTTTCCTTTTACTTGGCCTCTTTTCCACCTTTTTTTCTCTGTGCCTTATCCATTTCATCTGCAACCTGTGTTGGTTACATATTTACTCTTTTTTCTTCTGTGCTCATTCCGTTGCCACTCATCACTTTTTATTCCATCTCTTTAGATTTTTCTGTGCTTCCGTCAGGTAATTTGCAAATATTGCTGCTGTGTACTAAACAAGACAACAACAAAGAATTACATCACGCTATAACATACCAATCTACAAATCGCTTCAGAGCAAAACAAACGAGAACTTCGAACGAAAAATCGGTTTTTGTTCTGAATGGCTCTCTCATTAAAACAATCAAGTCGTCAGCGGTCCGCCAGCAACCTTCAACATCAGAATAATACGCAATAATACATATTATTCAAGTGCAATATTATTAATACAATAACAAAAACATGAACACATTCTATAGAATCATTACAAGAAATACGCAATTTTCATTCATCGTTACGCATATGACGTATATCATAAAACGTTTTTGCTTGCTTTTTGCAGAGCATTTCAGATACTATATATATGACTATATATTATACATTATATATATACATATTAACATTATTATATTTTATTTTTTTACATTATTATATACTATATATTATAGATTTCAGATATATCTATATATATGATATGCCGCAACTCGGTAAGATATTCGTCCATCTGTAAACCCTACTACTCAGCGCGACAGCACCTCAAATTTTCATCATCGAAATTTTAGATCAACTTACGGGGATCTGCAAAGATTGCCTCTCGTTAATGGTTTTCAGAGACAAGAGACCTGTCAATAAGCGATGAATGGTGGTACTTATTCCCAAGATTTGAGTTGCCACAAGTGAATCACAAGCGTCCATAATGTGTGCTGCTCCCGAACACAAAGAGAATACTCGACCGTTCGCTGTCCTCGTTCCTTTCCTTGATGGCTCTAACAATGCTTCTTTCGGACAGTGTTCAATGCATACCACCACAATAGAGCCATGTTCTTAGGCTTCCAGGTAAGCGCGTTTAACATCATATTAATGCTTTTGTATAAAGAAGGAAATTGAATTGGAAATGGTTATTGTTTTAATGAGATAATATATGTAGTTATTCAAAATATGGTTACCCTACTTCACGTGAGGATGCCGATATACCGCCCAATGCAAACGTATTAATCCAACTGTTATGTGTCTCTGTTATCGGGCGCATTTATAGC